AGATAGGTAGCTACAAACACAGATACTAATGAAGATATAGATATGTATGTGTGTGTATACATCTATACGGAATCACATATGTATTTCATCAAAACGTTTGTCTTGTTCACTTTCATTAATATGACATGGAAATAAACAGCACGACAGGTTTATTAATCTCTCTATAGTTTAAATTTTCACTTCATACCACAGGAAGTTTTAAATCCATTTATTTTATTTCTGCAACAGTATATCATTCATACGTACATGAACGTGTATGTACAAGGATGCGTATACATAAACACCCTCGTGTACACGCTAATTAATGACGCAAACACATGTCACGCCTCTGTCACACCGCAGATAATGACTTCCTTATTCCATGTAAACATTTCCGTTCATTGTGACATTATCCTGACAATCAAAGCGTAGTGAGTGACATATTCCATCACTAACGAAATTATTATCCATAGAATAGCCAACTCGAACGCATACAGTGATTTTCTTAATAGGATATGATTATAGGATGTGTATTTCTGTTCCTCGTTACTATGGTCATTTTATTTATTTATTTGTTTATTTTTGACATTGTTTATTTAACCCCTTATGATTAGATAAGTAAATGAATTAGCTGATATATTTTTGTGATTTTTGCTTTGGTTAAACCTATTAATATCATAGATTATTTTAGGGTCAATGGCGAGATATTATTGATATTATCTTAACAAAACAAACAAACAAGCAAACAAAATACTGGATCCACCACTGTTATGATTGATTTTGCTAACTAAACCTTTTATGTCAGTTAAATGTAATGGTTAATTAATACGATACATATTTCCTAAAAAAATAAAGTTATTATTAATTTTGATCGGAAAGTATCTATCTGCTTTATGATCTTAATCACGTTCATTACTGATATGCTTAAATAATTTCGTGCCTCTAACTATAAGGACCGTGAAGTACCAGTCCCTTGGTGATTTAAACTCTGTGAATAATGATCAAAATCGCATAAGTAAAATGTATATTAATGGATAGTCTATCATACACTGAAAAAAATATTTTTGACTCCAGAGAAAGGGATTCTGTAGCTAGGTTTAAAGAATTTCAGCTTGACTAAAAAACGGTTTTTATTTATTTACGAAATATGACAAGTTATATCAGCATCGTTATGTGAGTAAAAGAGTGAACACAGTAGAATATCTTGAAATGTCAGCGAATAACCACTAATATAACAAAGTAACAGAAACTGATGTCACAGTCTTGCAAATTCACTTGACAGAACACTTACTAATGTACATATATACACAGCCCGAGTCTATGATATCTGCACAAAAAGGAATATGAAATTTCGCCTCTCTCGTTCGTATTTGTTGTTATAATTATATGCTTGCTTGTTTGTTTACATCTGAGCTGTTAATGTGGCTTTATTTCTCATGCTAAAAAAATAAAATAGATAACAATATCAGATGCAGGAAATAGACTCAAGTGCCAATGTGACTCACGTAGAAACTGAAAATATGAAAATCAATAGTAAGTATATATCATTATTTGCTTTATAGAAATGGTATAGGAAATTGTAGTAGGAATCAGTCTATGCTGCTGAACTGATATCACAATGACTCATTATAGTTTGTTCCGTTGAGCTATCAGATTATGATGATTTTTAAACTTATAAATACATTCCCATCTTATAAATGAGGCAGTCGTTATAAATAATAGTAATCGAGACTGAACTGAACCTAGATATAAAAACGTCACTTAGTAACCCTCCTCTTTCTATCAGTTGTGTTATTCTCTCTAACATTATACTCTCTAGCATTATACACTGTTAGTAATGGTAAAAACACGTAGAAAATACTATTATTAATTTAAGCATGTTCTATATCATATTATGACTAACTTTACCGTATGAATACTTTTCCAGGTTATATCGTCGACTGAGCAGTTTCAAGCGAGACTGAAGAAACATCATCCATATGCAAAAGGTCTCCAGTCGTTGATCAGAAGCGATTCTGATGATATTCTTGGAAGGACAGGATCTTATGTTCGTCAAGATGACACCAAACAGCCAAAAGTTTCTGAATTAAAGGTTCTTGATGATCCCACCCATGCTAACGCCTCAGGATTTATTATACCGAGGGAGGATTATACCCATCCTAATGCCTCAGGATTTATCATACCGAGGGAGGATTCTAGTCACCCTAATGCCTCAGGATTTATCATACCGAGGGAGGATTCCACCCGCCCTAACGCCTCAGGATTTATCATACCGAGGGAGGATTCCACCCACCCTAACGCCTCAGGATTTATCATACCGAGGGAGGATTCCACCCACCCTAACGCCTCAGGATTTATCATACCGAGGGAGGATTCTAGCCACCCTAACGCCTCAGGATTTATCATACCGAGGGAGGATTCTAGCCACCCTAACGCCTCAGGATTTATCATACCGAGGGAGGATTCTAGCCACCCTAACGCCTCAGGATTTATCATACCGAGGGAAGATTCCAGCCATCCCAACGCCTCAGGATTTATCATACCGAAGGAGGATTCTAGTCACCCTAATGCCTCAGGATTTATCATACCGAAGGGGGATTCTAGCCACCCTAACGCCTCAGGATTTATCATACCGAGGGAGGATTCCACCCACCCTAACGCCTCAGGATTTATCATCCCGAGAGAAAACCCAACGCACCCGAGCGCCACAGGATTCATCACGCCGAAGGAGAATTCAAACAAACCAAATGCCTCGGGTTTCATCCTTCCGCGAGAGACTCTGAGGAAATCCCGTGGCCTGAAGATGGATTTACCTGCCTTACCCGCCAGCCTCGAGGAATCCCAAAAAGTGAAGCGAGATGAACAAAATCACGTTGAAAAGCTACTCGGGAAATCTCGGTCACAGAAAGACAGCAGAGGTGAGGTTCACTGTAGATACTCCCGTAGGTTGATGTGAAATATACACGATGGAGTGAAAAAATAAAGTTTTCTGTTGCTTTTGTTTAACGAGCGGAAATGTATCTTTGCAACAAAGTCTTGTTTCCGTCTAGATTTTAGCACAAAAAATATCTATAATGTCATTTATATGTATGTATATACATACACATACACACATGCATACATGTATGCATACACATGTACATATGTGTGTGTGTGAGCATACGTTATACATAAGGACACACACACGCATCTAAATATGTATGTGTATGTTATAATTATTCATACATGTATATAATCAAGTACAGCACAAAAAAATGACTCTTTCTACTTTCCGCTTTGTGTACGGATGTGCCCCCCCCCTCCCCCACAGTGGTGTCCTGCGGCCCCCACGTCCTGCAGCCTGGGTCCAAAGTCACGATCGCCACCAAGCGCTTTCCTCGGCCGTATCCTGCAGGGTACAAGTGCTTCTGGTCCTTTCAGGTCAGTGCTTCACCCCCCCTCTTCTTTCTCTCTCTCTCTCTCTCTCTCTCTCTCTCTCTCCTTCCCTCCCTCCCTCCTCTCTCCCTCCCTCCCTCTCTTCTCTCTCTCTCTCTCTCTTTCTCTCTCTCTCTCCCCCTCTCCCTTCCTCCCTACCTCCCCCCCCCTCTCTCTTTCTCTCTCCCTTCCTCCTTCCCCCCTCTCTCTCTCTCTTTCTCTCTAACTCCCCCACCCCCTCCCCTCCTCTCTCTCTTTTTCTGTTCCCCCCCCCTCTCTCACTTTCTTCCCCTTCTTGGCGATCCTCTCAGCCTTAGATCTAGTCATAGAACCTTAAATCACGCCTTCATAAGCACCCTTTTAGAAAGCCGCCTGAGCATCGGGGAGGGACAGCAAGCCACTTCTAAAGGTCACGAGCCAAGGGAGCCGAGAACCAGAGGACTTGCTTTTCCTTTTCCTGATGTGTGTGTGTGCATGTGAGTGTGTGTGTGTGTGTGTGTGTGTGTGTGTGTGTGTGTGTGTGTGTGTGTGTGTGTGTGTGTGTGTGTGTGTGTGTGTGTGTGTGTGTGTGTGTGTGCATGTGCATGTGTGTGTGTGTGTGTATGTGTGTGTGTGTGTGTGTTATTTATATGTAGCTGTATCTGTTTCTGTATACATGTATCTGTCTTTCTGTTATTTGTTTATAAATCTATCTGCATATATGAACATGTGTATGTGCATGAATAAATAAATGAACGAATAAATATATCTGCACACACACACACACACATATATATATGTGTGTGTGTGTGTAGTAGTAGAGAGAGAGAACGAAAGAGAGAAAGATAGAGAGACAGGGAGGGAGAGATAGATAGATAGATAGATAGATAGATAGATAGAGAGAGAGAGAGAGAGAGAGAGAGAGAGAGAGAGAGAGAGAGAGAGAGAGAGAGAAAGAAACAGACAGACAGACAACTACAGTAAAAAAAAAAACGCGTTCCAGGTAGCGGGCAGTCCAAGCGACGGCAAGCTAGAGTTGAAGTGCCCGACCTTCCTCCTCCCGAGCTGCTGGCGGGGCTCCTGGCGCTGGAGGAGGCGCTGCCGGGGCAACTACCTCGCCCTCTCCCACTCCTCCAGCAACGTGTACAAAAAGTGAGATCTCTGGCTTTAAGGCTTTGGTTGTGATGTTCAGTGATGTCAGTCTGTATCTACCAGTCTATCTGTTTATCTATCTGTCAGTCTATGTGTCTATATATCTATCAGTCAGTCTGTGTGTCTATTTATCTATCAGTCAGTTTATGTGTCTATTTATCTATCATTCACTTCATCTATGTGTCCATTTATCTATCTATCAGACAATCTATCTATCTATCTGTCTCTTTGTTTGTCAGTCTGTTTGTTACCTTCTTACCTATCTTTTTATCTATCAGTTTGTTCTTTAAAAAATCATCCATCAATCAATCTACTTACTCATCTATCCCCCTGTCTATTTTACTATTTACCTGCCTACCTGCTTATCTACGCAAAAAAAAAAAAAACACCTGCCTACCTCCACCTATCATTCTACCCTTTTAAGTAAGTATTCAAATGAAAATGTAAGTATTATCCACAGTGATTATATGTGTGGTAATGTTTTCTCTCAGCATCAGAGATCCCCGAAGCTGTTGTCTCTTTCTTTAGTACACTTAAACATCTATATATATATATTCTTTTAAATCCATAGCTATCTATCTATGTCTGTCTATCTATTTTTGTACAGCAATATCTATCTATCTATCTATTTATCTATCTATTTTTTTTACATCTATAGCTATCTATCTATATGTCTGTTTATCTATTTTTCTACATCTATATCAGTCTATCTATCTATATTTCTATCTATCTGCATGTTGTCCTCAGGTACTTCGGCAGGAAGGGACCCGAGGACGTCAGCACAGAAGGCGGTGTCCTTAAGCTTTTCCTTAGTACCATAAGAGGTTTTCGAGCAAGAGGGTTCTCCTGCACCGTCGAGGCTTTCGCTGGCAGTAAGTTAAGATTTTATGGCGTTGTCTTTAAGTTTCTTAATTGAAGGGAAAAAGAGCACGTGATTTGGGTGAAATCGTGGTGTGGATTAAGATATGTCGAATTATTATTATTATTATTATTATTTATGTTTTTATTAATGATCATCGTTGTATTCATCTGTCTATTTATAATTATTTATAAGTAATGATTGTGAAAAGATATGTTTCAAATCACTACTATTTCTACGAAGATACAATAATATGCAAATTTACAAATATCGATGAATATCCTCTTTATTAACACACCTAAATTTATCTCTTCATGACAATTAATCTTTAATTTTTTCTTTCCCCAGGTACGACAACCACCACAACCACCACTCCAGCTCCTGAGGAAGACGTATGTGGTAAGTACCTGTCATCTACATCACGAGTGTCAAACGCGTGGCCCGCAAGACGTATATGACCTCGCGTTGGGCGTAGGTGGCCCAAGAGAGACAGTGTGAGCTCCATGAAGGAAAATAATGTCATACACATTTTGCTGTCATTAGCGTCTCTATTGATAAATTAAATCAACTCTACGTATAGGTATGCAATATGAGTTTTGATATTTCTTGGTATGAGTTTTAATACATCTTGGGAAACCAGGTCTGTTACCTTGGTTTGCGCTCGAGATGGTACATTTCATGAAAGTTAGCCTGCAAAGAGTTTAGAGTTTGACACCCCTGGTCTGTATTACAGTCTGATTAGTGCTATATCACTCCGTAAAACTTCTCTCTCTTCTCGAGGTAAATAAACCTTCCTTTCTTATAACAAATGCAGGACCATTAAGGAAAAAAATGAATTTGCAATAAAAATCTGTTACAGATCTCACGAAAAACCGCTGTGGCCTCAATCACAAGAGAAATACAAACCGCATCGTGTCCGGCCAAAACGCGGGCGTAGGGGCGTGGCCGTGGGTGGGCGGTCTCACTCTACGGGGAGATTCGGGCGTGTTCTGCGGCGCAACACTTATCCATCCCGAGTGGGCACTTACGGCCGCCCACTGTGCTGAGGCGTATGTGAATAGCTAAGCAGTCTACGGTGTTGATTTAGAATGTTCTGTAGCGGTTATTTACTGTATCATGTTTTCTGTGGTATGACGTTGACTCTTCCTGTTAACACACACACACACACACACACACACACACACACACACACACACACACACACACACACACACACACACACACATATATATATATATATATATATATATATATATGTATATATATATATATATATATATATATATATATATATATATATATATATATATATTTGTGTGTGTGTATAAATATAGATAAATAAAGAGATAAAGATAAAGTTAGATAAATAGTTATAGTTTCGAGAATCTGTAATGCTAATAGAGAGAAAACGCAGTCATACATATAAAACAAATTATAGTGATTAACCACTATAGATATAAGACTTGAATAGTCCACTAGATGTAATCGATAAGATAATAGTAGAAATGATAAAACAAAATGAAATGGTTGATAACTATTCATACACACATTTCATAAGAGGGTTTGCTCGTTCAAAAGTGTTCTCAAACTTAATTTCCCGGAAATGGGGTTATTAAATATTTTGTTATCTTAAACTTTCATTTCTAACACAGGCATCGATATTTTCATGTTAATGCATTTCACTCATGAGTCAGAGTGCATTAAGTATTTATATGCACGGCATTGAACATAATGAAACAGAATGCATTAAAGTGAACATATCAACGCTTATATTAGAGATGAACGTTTAAATCAATAAGAAATATTCGGAAAATTGGACACGCATGCCTTCATATCTTCATGTCACATTTCCTAGGTCATGTCACTCACTGCAATAACTTTCCAGGATCAAGTCCAATGGTGTTGAGGCAGATTTGCTCCTTGGCGCCCATGACCTGTTGCATCCTCAGCCTCAGTTGCAACGCAGACAGGTGAGAGCAGCTGACCTATGACCTATGACCCGAAAAATGGCATTTCAATGATAGTAATATCTATTAACGATAGATAGTAGATGATAAGAATGTCTTCTCAATCTCTGCATACTGCGTTGTCTAAGGATAAGTTGCATGACCCTTTCG